CTAGAAGGCCTCTCCTCTCTATGAGCCAGTCCCTGTGCCCACACCAGTCTCTGTACCCATACTGGTCTCTGTGCCCACATCAGTCTCTCCCAGGATTAAGTCAAGACACCAGAAGTCTGGGAGTCACTGGGTATAAGTCCTGTCAAAGACAGAGCCCTGGAGTTCACGACTTCTGTTGAGATCCAGGGGGCTGCCACATTTCATCCTCCACAACACATGGCTACTCAACTCCCCCTCAGCACTGTGGGAGCCTCCAGGCTGCTCCCAATGGCTACTTTCTTTCTTTTGTTTGTTCAAACTACTCAACATTGGATTCTAAAACTTGAGGCCAACAAAGCCTTAACTAATACACTACTTCTGATCCTCTCAGGAGGTAGGCATGTAATTCCCCCTCTTTACAGATTAGGAAGATGCATTTCAGAGAGATTAAGTGACTTGTCCAAAGTCAAAGAGCTGACAAGTGGCAGAACTGCTAGTCAAACACCAAAGCCAGGGCATTTTCTACTCTGCCACAGCTGCCTGAGTGACCGCAGGAACACACAACGTGCAGACCACAATCTGAAGAGGCAGCAGAGACAGAGAGGAAGCATAAGGCTCACTTCTTGGTAATCAGAGCAATTCAGTGGCCTGGCAGATAGATGGTCTCTATTTTGGTAGCTGTGTCACAGTTCTGCAACAAAGACATTTATTTTAATACTCAGGAAATTCAGCAGCAATGTCCCAACCATGTCAACAGTCAAGCTATAAATCTCTGGCTACAGCAAGTTAAATATGGTCAGTGTGTTTTACTCTCTCTTCGTCAATTCCCTGATCATCCAGCATTAATTCTCAGGATCACATGATGATGAGGAGGAGAACAGACAGCCTAGAGTCAATGGAGACATCATCAGAGCCTCAGGTTCTTTGCAGAAATGGGCAGAGGATAAACCCTAAGTCAATACAAAATGGCCAAGGGCGTAGCAGATGAAATCCATGTTTTCTCCAAAGAAAGAACTGGAATCTGAAAAGTATGCCTTTTTTCTGCAGGAAAAAATACTGCTAACTGTAACAGTTGGGATTTCTTAAACTGACACCTAGAAATTTACAGTTCCTAAATAATAATTTATAATTCTTTATCCACAATTTGCAATTAGTTTTGCAGAGTAGAATTAAAACCTTTGCTAAAATACTTAGGTATTGGGCCTCCCCGGTGGCGCAGCGGTTGAGCGCTGGGTTGTGAAGCTGCCCGCAGCCTCTGCAGCACCAGTTCGATCCCCGGCTCCTCCCCGGCCACCGGAGGAGGGTCCCACATGGCGCACAGACCTCTCCTGCCGCCCGCTGCTCCCCTCAGCAGTGTACTTTGGTCCTTCTGCCTGCTCTGCTCCCCGCTCTGGCTCTGGTGAATTCTCTCACCCTCCTGTGCTTCTGACTGTACCCAGTGCTTGTATAAATAAATAAATAATAAATAAATAAAAAAAATCTTAAAAAAATAAATAAATAAATAAAATACTTAGGTATTTTTGCACAGTAATTTAAAGATCATATAGGATTTAAATATAACCAAAACACTCATGAAATGACTTTAAACTTGCAGTTATATGAAGTGCAAACATGCCCAGTGCTAAAAATAAGGTGACACAGAGGATCAAGCTAGTGAGATTAAATTTTTAAATACTCAGCCTCTGCAACAAATTTATAAACATTTTGTTCAACATTTAGACACTTTTTATATGACTAAAGCAGACTCAAAAGAGCAAAGTTTAACTAAATGGATTCAAATTAGTGATGATGTGTCCATCTACAGCACCTGACTGCAGCTAGCTCCTTTGAAAACAGACTGTGCCTTATTACAGGCTGACATGCATCTTAACGCTCAACTAAACTTGATCAAAATCAAATAACTAATGCAAGTCAGAGTCACAAAATATTAGCCCTCGGATTTAGTTATTATCATAGACTTGCCCAAGGTCACTCAAGTGAAGTGACAAAGCCAAGAAAGAATTCAAGGCTGCAGACCTCTGGCCTGCCCCCAGGGCTCCACTAAGTTCCTCCTGACACTCTTACTCAAAGAGTAAGAAAATACAAATCCTCGAAAGGTCAGAGTTAAGAAAGAGCTCCTGATTCTGCTCCTTCCAGTCGGACAGACCTCTTCCAGTGCGCTGCCAGCCGAGTCCCTTCACAACGGTGAAGGTCGGAGCGAATGGATTTGGCTGAACTGGGTGCCTGGTCACCATGGTTGCTTTTAACTGACAAAGTGGATATTGTTGCCATCAAAGACCCCTTCGTTGACCTCAACGACAGGGTCTACATGTTCTAGTATGATCCCACCCACAGCCAGTTCAATGGTACAGACAAGACCGAGAACTGGAAGCTTGTCATGAATGTAAAGGGCATCTTTCAGGAGCGGGAGCCCGCCAGCATCAAATGGGGTGATGCTGGTCATGTTGGGGAGTCCATTGATGTCTTCACTAGGTTGGAGAAGGGTGGGGCTCACTTACAGCGTGGGGCCAAAAGGCCATCATCTCCTCCCCTCCTGCTGGCGCCCCCATGTTCTAGATAGGCGTGAGCATGAGAAGAATGACAAACCCATCAAGATTGTCAGCCATGCCTTCTGCATCATAACTCTCCTGGCCAAGGTCATCCTCTATGGCATCACAGACCACATTCCACGCCAGCTCTGCCACCCAGAAAACGATGGACAGCCCCTCTGAGGAGCTGTGGTGAGATAACCGCGGGGCTATCCAGAAGATAACCCCTCTTCTACTGAAGCCGCCAAGGCTCATTGACATGACCTTCCACATCCCCCTCACCACGAGTCAGTCATGGATCTGACCTGCCATGGAAAAATTTACAAACTCCGAGGACATCAAGGTGGAGAAGCAGGCATCCAAGGCTCCCCCTCAAGGGCATCCTGGGCATACCAAGGACCAGGCTATCTCCTACAACCTTAACAGTGACACCCCTTCCTCCACCTGAAATGCTGGGATTGGCATTGCCCTCAATGACCACTTTGTCAAGTTCATTTTCTGGTACTGAATTTGACTGCAGCCACAGGGTGGGAGACCTCATCATCCACATGGTCTACAAGGAATAAGAGGCCCTGGCCCACTAGCCCCGGCAAGCGCATGCAAAAAGAGACAAGTCCTGAGCTGCTGGGGAGTCCGTACCCCAGTTTTCTAACACACTGAGACTCTCCTGACCTTGTCACAGTTCCATCCCAGATCCCCTGAAGATGGGAAGGGACTTAATGAGCCCGACTCTGTCCTGTATTATCAATAAAGTACACTGTCCCCAGCAAAAAAGAAAAGGCTCCCACTGTTCAGCCAATGATGCCCTCTAGGCAGGATGGACACTGAGCCCACACCAGCATGCCAGCTGGTTGCTGAAAACCTGAGATGCTTCTATACCAGCTGTAGGGTAAAGAAAATATCAGGCTTTTCTGCCCTTCCGCCATCAGGATAGATGATGGATCCTTGTCTTGAATGCATGCCTGATGGCAGGCACCTGGAATAGGGTGTGGGCATAGGTAGATGGGATTCAGCTGAGCTAAGACTGTACTTTTAAGGGCGGCGTCATGGGGACGCCAGCAGCAGCAGTAGAAGCTGAAGCAGAAGCCGAAAGAGAAGCCGAAAAGCAGCAGAACGAACGCTAGAGAGCCCAGATAGAGTGAAGACTTGCTGGGGGGCTGGGAGGCTGGCAGGCCTCCCAGCCCCCCAGCCAGCACCCCTGCCTGCCATATGCCTGGTGAACCCCAATAAAAAACCTGCAAAACTACTGAGGACTCTGACTCCTCCTTTACCCGGTCTGCATGGGATCAGAAAACCTGCACTGTGGCCAGTCCTGGCCCTTACACCAGCTGTAATACTACCCCCCAACTCACTCACCCCAACTACTCCAGAAGCCCTGGGCCATCAAGCCCTAGGTACATCGACGAGATGCAAAAACCACAGGGTTGGGGCCTGGCACACCAGCACCTCCAGAAACCCACTGTGGTCCTACAGAGTCTGTTCTGATGGTTCCGATGGCTGAGGCCATTGCCGCACAGTGGTTATTTTGAGAATCTCCCTTCACAAAATCACAAGTCATGATGAAAGCCATTCATCAGAGAACTAATTTGTGTAAGAGTTCTCTGTCTTCTCAATGTATGAAGTTCATTAAAGCTGGTGGGGGGAAAAATTTGGCCCACACTGAACTCCTTTCTTCCCCATAGCTGGCTGCCTAGCTGCACTATATGGAAGCTAAGGGTAAGAGTAATCCTCTGACTCTCTCATAAACCAACATAATCATTTGCTCACTCAGCAAACATTTACTGAGCCAGGCCCTGGGCTGAGCACTGGAATTGGAACATGCATGCCAGCTCCCTTGCCTGTGCCTGGGGTGAGGGGAAGCAGAAAGGTGGCCCCTTGACGTCAACGCAGGGTGAAGAGCTCCAATGGCAAGTGCTGTGCAGCAGAGAGGAAGAGATGGCCCTGCTGACAGTCAGGGAAAGCCCTGCCAAGGAGGTGACACTCCAGCGGCACCTTAGGGTCACCAGGTAAACAAGGAAGGGAAAGGTATTCCTAGAGGATGGAACAGTGTATGCAAAGGCACAAGAGATACAAACATGTCACTTTTAGGAACCTGTAAGAAGTTAGCTGTCATGAGATGATGGGGAATGAAAGAAAAGGAGAAAGGAAAGAACTTTGATGAGATCAGGAAGGGTCTGCTGTGCCATTTCTTTCATGCATTTGCACAGGAAAATTCTCTTAACACTTGGATTATATATTTCTACAGAGGTGAATGCTGGGAAAACAAACACCAGGCTCATCTCTAAATGACGTCTCAGTTTCCTGTGTGGTGGAAATACCCATGCTCAGCTGAAGGATATTAATCTGTAAAGTTAAGAACACCTCCTCCTACCTGTTGTAGCTCAATTATCAGCAGGAAGGCATTTGAGGCTCTCTAGATCAAAGGAGTTATCAAATATGTGTCAAGGAAGAATATGAATGTGCATGTGAACATCCAATTTCAGTCAAGCTTACCTCAGAGAAGATGATTTTGCTGCCTGGTGACTGTTGAAAGGAGCACTTTTCTGTTATTAAGTCTTCACTCCTGAACCCCAGATCCTGTGCAGTAGTTAAATAACTGTTCTGCTGTATTGCTTCCAATTCTTTTTCATTGAATTTCTAAGGAAACAAAACAAATCATCAAGTTTTTATCAAAGAAAAAAGCATTAAAAGATTGTCCTAAACTCTTACAGGAAAGATATACTAGTCTTTTCCACAATGCCCATATGCCCTCTAAATAACTTTCATCGTCCCCAAATGTTAGGCAATTACAGAATGCCACTCCATTTGTGTGTCACTATAGCTTAGAGAACAGCAGCAACCCAAGATGGCAGAGCTAAAGATGGTGGCAAAGCCCTGCTCAGCCACGTTGTGTTCCATGAGTACATTTCCTTCCACGTTCAGTTCTCTGCTTTTCTCGAAATTAGTAACAACTGCTTTGTTATTACTTTTAGTTCATAAAACTGAATTATGTACTTAATGTAAATTTATCTCCACACTCCCTAAAAGACTCAGAAATTCCTCTAGGTGGAGTCAGACATCTGAGCTCAAGGATGGGCTCCCTCAGCAGGTCTGGCCTCAGCTGTCATCCTGGGACTTCCCTTCACAGCCCACGAATCCACAGCCCACGTGGATTCACTTTTTTCTGGATCACGTGTCCATCTCTTTTTGGGTTATTTCTCATTTGTATAGATCATCCCCCAGGAGTTTTCTGCAGAGTCATATGAGGCACCGAATGTCTGGAAATGCCCTTATTCTGCCTCATACTTGCTGAATTGTGGGCTGAGCACACAAGGCTGGATTGGAAATGACCTTTCCTCAAAAATCTGAGAGTGCTGCTCTCCTGCTTTCTGGCTTCTGGTGTTGCTGTTGAGAATTCTGACATCATTTCTGGTTTGGGTCCATCATATATAGAATCTATGTTTTCACTCTCTAGAAGCCTTTCAGATCCTCTCTTTATCCCTGTGCGTTGAAATTTCACAATTTGACCTTGCAGTACTGTTCATTTTCATTGTTCTAGAAACACAGCAGGTTCTTTCAATATAGAAGTACATGTCCTCCCATTCTAGAAAATGTTCTCCTCTTACTTTGAAATTTTCCTTCCCTCTACTTTGCCTGGAACTTCTGTTAGTCATATACTGGAACTCTTGAATCAAGTCTCTCACATTATTATCATTTCTTTCCCATTTTCCCCTCTTTTTGTTTTTTGCTTAATTCTATTTCCAGAAGATTTACTCAATTTCATCTTCTAACTTGCATAATTCTTCTATTAAACATTTTATATCTGTAATCATCTTCCAGTTTCCCAAAGGCCATTCTTCTTTTCCAAGTATCATTTTTATCACATCCCAAACTTACTTTCACCTAAAGATATTATAGGATGCAGTTTTTTAAAAAGCTGCCTAGTGTTCTTCTCATCCCCCCTTTCTTTTCCTTCTCTGCCACTCTGTTCTGTCTGCTTGACTTGTCTTTCCTCAAGATGCTGTTCTCCTGCTTGATAAATACAGGCCATCCACATACTCTTCTCCCCATCCATCTACTATTAAAAGTGCTCAGAAGCTCTGCAAGCATGGCAAGGACATATCAAGGGGGTCTCACTGTGAGAAAACCAGGAGGGACTCAGTTGTTCTGTTGGAGTCCCCCAGTAATGGGCATCTTTCTTTCTGTGTCTTTTCTCCACTCAGGGGAACCTCATTACTGGGTATGCACACTTCACTCCCTCCCTCCGCATTTCATACAAGAGCCCACTCCTGCTTTCAGCTGCACATGAACGTCTCTGGCTTTCTAACTGGGTGGTTCCCAGGGAAAGGGGAGGTTCCAGGCTCCCTGCCCCACCCAAGGAAGGGTGGAGGCTAAGCAGAGAAGAGAAGCTGGAGTAGGAAGGAAAAAGCAGGATGGAGAGGCAGAAGGAGACCTGGAGGAGGCACATGGAGCAGAGACACATGTGAAGAAGCTGCAATTGCTTCTTGGTCCTGGACTGGGTGAAACAGATGTGGGTGAGAGACCCGTGGGGAGGTTTACAATGGAAGCTTTTATCTTGATTTTGCTCCCTTTGTCCCAGACATGGTGGGTCCCTTCTGCCCCTTTCCTATGGGTCCCCACAAAAAGGTGCTGTTGATTTATGCAGACTTTCAGGCCTCTGACGCCCTGCTTTGGACCAACCCTGTTTGGCTGGACATTTACTCACTAACTTCAGGTGATTTGGAAACTTATTCTTTGTCTTTTCTGTATTGCACACTAATTATATTAAAGATATAATTAGTGAAGGTCTTATGCACTAAATTATGCTTTGTCTTGATGTAGTGGATGGCAGAACTTATTTAGAGCAGGCAGGTTTGGGGGCTCTAGGGTGGCCCTCTCCCTGCCCTGTAATAGATTAAGGTCAACAGAGGCCTTAATCTCCCATCCCCTTCTAGTGAAGAGAACGTGACCAACTTACTGCCTGGCATTCCAGCCAAATATGCTCTCATGTCCACTGACCTTTCTGGGTTCTTTCTGGGTTCTGTAGAATAGGCCTAGCTTGATCCCTGTTGACTTCCCACCCCAAAGGATGTAGCAGAGTCGAGAATGCTGAATCTGTGTAGTTACCACTCGCCATCTGCTTATCATCCAGACAGCATCCTGCTGCTGCACCACTCCCATTCTCCCCTCCTATGGGTTTATATCTGTACACCCTCACCACCATTTTAATGAGATTTCTATAGTAAGTGGAGTTAAATACCCATGTCCAGATCACCAAAGTTAGCTGTGAGTCTGGGCTAAATAAGTAATTCACCAATGAACACAAAGGGCGTTCCAAGACACAGAGGAACACTTAGAGGAAAAGTGCAGAGGAGTGAATGAATAAGGAGCAAAGACTCCCATGAAATGGGTCGGGCAATTGAGAAAAACAGGCCAACCCTGACACAGCTGGACCTGCTGTTAACTGTGATGATTCACACAGCCCAGAGAAGCTCCTTCCCTTTGCTGAGCTTCCCTTTCTCCACACTTACCTCCCTGATGGCTGAGACCCAAATAACATGAGGAAAGTTGTGAGAGGCTCTGATTTGTGGCAAAGAAGCCTACAGTCATTTTTGCAGCCACATGTTTACAGAAATGTTCCTTCAAAAGAGTTTTTTAAAAAAAACCTATGCCGGGCCTCCCCAGTGGCGCAGTGGTTGAGCGCTGGGTTGCGAGGCTGCCCGCAGTCTCTGCAGCGCCGGTTTGATCCCTGGCCGCCAGCAAGGGTCCCACATGGCACGCAGACCTCTCCGGCCCCCAATGCTCCCCTCAGCAGTGTACTTTGTCAGTCTGCCTGTTCTGTTCCCCACTCTGGCTCTGGTGAATTCTCTCGCCTTCCCGCGCTTCTGACTGTACCCAGTGCTTGTATAAATAAATAAATAAATCTTTAAAAAAAAAAAAAAAAAAAAAAAACCTATGCCAAATCAAAAGATTTAAAGGCAAAAGACCAAAAGTTAGGGTACCTGAAGCAACAAGTCTGTCTGACTGGCACTTTTTGTCAGGCGTCTGATCACCTCCTCTTGGTTTTGTAGCTTTTTATTACTTTCACTCAAAAGGCTTCTGTAACGATGCTCCACTGCCTTCTCTCTTTCATTCACTTCGTTGCGTAATTTTTCAACTTCATGTTGAAGGTCCTACCAGAAGAAAAAGAAGAACTGGAATTTACTTGACAAAAATGTCAAGGTCAACAATTTCTCTCACCTATTTACCTTACTGTATAGCAAGCAGCTAACTGAGGTATTTAACAATTGTGTATTTCCTTCTCATTTGAAGATTTAATAAATATCCAAAATAATCTAAAATTTGGAAAAGTTTTAACCATATTTATCACAACATAAATATGAATATTTATCACAATATTATTTACAACTAAATATCCAACAAAGGGAATTAATTATAAAAAGAGTATGTTATTCAAAATTCTGTGTAATATGATGCCGGCTGTTTCTAAATGTTTATATAAAATATTATTACAGTTTTTAGGACTATGAGGGAACACATCAAAATAATAAAAGCAAAGCTTTGCCAGTTCCTTTGTTTTCTCTACATTCCACAAGAGTGAAATCATCGGTATTTGTCTTTTTTCCTTCTGACTTATCTTGCTTAGCATAATCCCCTCCAGTCCCATCCATGTTGTTGAAAATAGCAAGAGTTCATCTTTTTTATAGCTAAGTAGTATTCCATCATGTATATATAACATGTCTTAATCCACTCATCTGTCTTTGGGCACTTAGGTTGTTTCCATAAGTTAGCTACTGTAAATAGTGCTGCAGCAAACATAGGAGTATATATATTCCTTTGAATTAGTGCTTTTGCATTCTTCAGATATTATACCTAGGAGTGGAACTGCTGGATCATATGGTAGATCCATTTTTAACATTCTGAGAAACCTGCATCTTATTTTCCATAGGGTCTGGACCAGTCTATATTCTCCAAAAGTAAACGAAAACAAACCCTAGAAAGAACTGCAGAATTAGGCTACTAGAGGGGGAGACAGGCTGGGGGTGGGAACAAAGGGAGCAGGTGGTCTATGGTAAAGGACTACGGGTGCTTTGGTGGTGGGTGTGATGTGGTGACAAATATCTGAGGCGGTATGAACCTACTCCCCTAAGTCACAGACAGTGTTGTAAACCAATGTTAACTTAAAAAAAAAAAAAAAATTACAAAAATAATAATAAAGTATCCCTAAGTAGAGGAATAATAGTGATTATCAGTTGATTTTTGATTTTTCTGAGCTTTTATAATCTCTAAATAAGCCTAATATATTCATAATGAGAACATAAAACTGTCTTAAATAATGGCATTTCCAATAATGAAAAATGTTCAAGTTACACTAATGGGGAAAAAACGAAAACAACAACTATACAGTGTGATTGTAACTACCTCAGTGTACTATTTGTAATAATGAAAAACTGGAAACACCCAGATGTCCACCAACAGAGGAATAAACCAGGCACATTCTCACCACAGAGCACTGTGAAGGTACAGAGAAAAGTAATGAGGAATCCCTTTATAAATGTACTGGCCCAGGTAATCTTCAGGAAATACCACTTAGGGTGGAAGAAGGAAGGAAGCAGACCACAGGAAGGAAAAAAAAAGTCTATGTACAGTGTACTGCCATTTCCTTAACCACACAAGGAATTAAAAGGCTGCCTTTTAGGAAAAAGGGAACGCAGTAAAAGAGACAGAGTAAAAGTCATTTTTTAGATGTGGCTTTAAATGCTTAAACATTTAAACCATTTAAATGCTTAAGAGAATTATTCTTTAAATAAAATTTTAAATCCCTTAAATCTTAAAGCAGAACAAACAAAAGAAAACGAATTTAACTGTATTGGGTTGATTGGTGAACCAAACTGAAAGTAATCATTTCAATAACCTTAAAGCTGTGTAATGTATACCTCTCGAGTGGGATATTTTTCCTTAGGACAAAAGGAAGTACTACAAAAAATTTTTCATTGTTAGCAATAAAGTTTTTTAGTTTTCTTAAGTAATAATGCTTTTAATAACCATACTGCAAGAAATACTGGTATTGTTATTCTGAAATTGTGTGGGCATATATTTATTAAATGAGTATTATGTCACAGGAACCAAAATGTTCAGCATAAGAGAAGACAAACACAAATGTAAAAGTTAAAGGGCATCATTCTCATTTAAATTGGAAACACTGGGCTTCCCTGGTGGCAAAAGGGGTTAAGTCTCAGCACTATGAAGCCATCAGAGCCACTGCAGCAAGAGTTCAATCCCCTGCCAGGGAGCTAACCCACATGGCACAGCAGACCTCTCCAGTCTCACCCCGCCGCACCCCTCAGCAGTGTATTTCAGTAGATCTGCCTGTTCTACTCCTGCTCTGTCTCTGGTGAATTCTCTCACCCCCCACATCTCTGGCCTGTACCCCAGCTCTTGTATGCATAAATAAATACAGTAAATCTTAAAAAAAAAAAAATCATCAATGACACTAAGGTTCTTGAAAGTAAGATAAGAAATATGATATTTACATAGTTTCAAAGTATATCCCCACAAAACACCACAAATGGATAAAAAAGCAACTGTATTGTGGAGAAACCCAGGATACACCCACCCTAACCAAGTGACCTACACTGAAGCTACGCAAACAATTAGGACAGACGGACAGTGTGTGCCTCCAGATGTGACACAGGAGAAAGAGCTCATTGTATCAGAGTGATTCTTGCCACAAATGTATACCTTCAACCTAATCACGTAAGAAACACCAGTCAAGTCCAAACTGAGGGACATTTATAAAATAACTGATAAGTATGCTACAAGACTCAAGGTCATGAAGTTCGAAAAAGACTGCACTACTGTGCCTGATTAGAGGAGACTAAGGAGACATGACAATGAAAGGCAAAATGGATGCTGGACTGGATTCTGGTCCAGAGAAGGGGCATTAATGGGAAAACTGGTAGAATTCAAATACAGTCTGTAGACTGGCTAGTAGCATTGTGTCTGTGGATTCACTGATTCTGGTAAGTGTACTCCAATTGCATAAAATGAACATTAGCTGGGTGAAGGGTATAAAGGAACTTCTGTGAATTCTTTCCATAGCTTTTCTCTATGGCTAAAATTATTTCAAAATAAAAATTTTTTAAAAAGACTTATCAATCAATGCAATGTGTACATCTTGTCTCTATCATAAATTTAACAGATGTTTACAATAACTTTTAAATTAGACAATCATTAGTGTTGTGTGCAAAAATGTTCTCCCACTTGGTGGGGTTTCTCTTTGTTTTGGTTATTGTCTCTTTTGCTGTGCAGAAGCTCTTTAATTTGATGTAGTCCCAGCTGTTTATCTTTGCCTTCACTATCACTGCTTTGGGTGATGTGTCTGTAAAGATGTCTTTGATGTGCATATCACGTAGTGTTTCGCCTATATTTCCTTCTATGTATTTTATGGTTTCAGGTTTTATGTCTAGTTCTTTAATCCATATTGAGTTGGTTTTTGTGTATGGTGTGAGGTAGTGGTCAAGCTTCATTCTTTTGCATGTAGCGACCCAGTTTTCCCAGCACCATTTATTGAACAAACTTTCTTTGCTCCAATGCATAGTCTTTGCTCCTTTGTCAAAGATTAGTTGACCATAAATCTGTGGCTTTATTTCTGGATTTTCTATTCGATTCCATTGGTCTGTGTGTCTGTTCTTGTTCCAATACCGTGCAGTTTTGATAATTATGGCTTTGTAGTAGAGTTTGAAGTCTGGGAGTGTGATGCCTCCATTCCCTTCTTTTGTTTTTTTCAGGAGAGCTTTGGCTATTTGGGGTTTTTGGTGATAAAGGACTAATCACAAAAATCTGCAAAGAGCTGATGAGACTCAACAACAACAAAGAAAATAATCCAGTCAAAAAATGGGCAGAAGAGCTAAAAAGAAACTTCTCTGAAGAGGAAATGCAAATGGCTAACAGGCATATGAAAAAATGTTCAACATCACTTGTCATCAGGGAAATGCAAATCAAAACTACCATGAGATACCATCTTACACCAGTAAGAATGGCACATATTAAAAAAACTAGCAACAACAAATGTTGGCGAGGGTGTGGAGAAAAAGGAACTCTTCTGCACTGTTGGTGGGAGTGCAAACTGGTCCAACCACTGTGGAAAGCTGTGTGGAGATTTCTGGACCTACTAAACATAGAGCTTCCATATGATCCAGCAATTCCACTCCTAGGTATTTACCCAAAGGACACAGAAACATCAATTCCAAAGAACACCTGCACCCCTATGTTTATAGCAGCACTGTTTACAATAGCTAAGCTTTGGAAACAACCCAAATGCCCAAAAATAGATGACTGGATCAAGAAGATGTGGTACATATATACCATGGAATATTACTCAGCATTCAAAAAAGATAAACACATGCAATTTGCAGCAACATGGATGGCGCTGGAAGGGATCATGCTCAGCGAAATAAGCCAGAAAGAAAAAGAAAAATACCGGATGGTCTCACTCATAGCAGGAATCTAGAAAACTTAAATAAGGGACCAGGAAAATGAATAACTATAAGAAAGTGAAAATCAAAATCAGCAAAAAACTATGAACCAGAGACACTTTTAGGGGGGCGGGGGCGGGAGGGGAGGGATTGGGGTCAGAATGGGGGGGCTGCAATTGTATGGGGAATATAACAATAAAATTTATTATCTAATAAAAAAAAAAAATCTGCAAAGAGCTGATGAGACTCAACAACAACAACAAAAAATCCTGTCGAAAAATGGGCAGAAGAGCTAAAAAGAAACTTCTCTGAAGAGGAAATGCAAATGGCCAACAGGCATATGAAAAAATGTTCAACATCACTTGTAATCAGGGAAATGCAAATCAAAACTACCATGAGATACCATCTTACACCAGTGAGAATGGCACATATTAAAAAAACTAGCAACAACAAATGTTGGCGAGGATGTGGAGAAAAAGGAACTCTTCTGCACTGTTGGTGGGAGTGCAAACTGGTCCAACCACTATGGAGAGCTGTGTGGAGATTTCTGGACCTACTAAACATAGAGCTTCCATATGATCCAGTAATTCCACTCCTAGGCATTTACCCAAAGGACACAGAAACATCAATGTTTATAGCAGCACTGTTTACAATAGCTAAGCTTTGGAAACAACCCAAATGCCCAAAAATAGATG